CTGCTTGGCAGTTCCACCCTGGAGCATGTCTTACTTCACCAGTGAAGAACCTGAGACTCAGAGAAGGAGGTGGCCTGTCCAAAGTCATTCAGTGACAGAGCTAGAATCTTTAAAATTAATTTTATTTGAAAAAGTAAGAGAGAAAGAAAGATGTTTCTTCTGCTGGTTCATTGCCCCAAATGGCCGTAACAGCCAGGGCTGGGACAGGCTGAAGTCGGAAACCAAGAGGAATTCCCTCTGGGTCTTCCAAATGCTTGGCAGGAATTCAGTTACCTGGGCCATCATCTGCCACATCACAGTCACATTGGCAAGGAGCTGGATTGGAAGCCTGGAGTAGCAGGGAACTTGAAGCAGGTGCTCTGAGCTAGGATGTGGGCATACCACATGGCACCCTGAAAGCTGAGGTTTAAGACTGCCCTTTTAGCAGGCCATGTTGTTCTGAGCAAGGTGGCTCTTCAATGCCTTTTTCTTTCTTCCTGCTGTGTCCCATCTTCTGCGTCCTGTTGAAAGATGTCTACCTTAGTTTCTCTTCATTCTGCTTAATCCTGAGAGCCTTCTGAGCATGTAGAGGTGCTTCTGAGATGAGGTGGTTTTCCCCTTGGCACAGCTCAAGCACGGTCATAGCTAAGTAACAAATCACCTTCAAACCTAGTGGCTTCCAACAACAATGTTTTTTTTTTTTTTTCTCACAAATGTTTCACTTGCCCAGGGTTCAGTGGAAATTTCTCCTTCCTTCAGAGGAAGTTCATCTCTCCTTCTCTGAGGAGTTGGGGACCCATGAGGGGGCTGGCTGTGGACTTAGAAACTTGGCTTCCCCCTGAAGTGTCTGTATGATTGCTTGGGCTTCCTCACAGCATGGTGAGTAGGTTCCAAAAACATTTTTAGGACCTGCCGTCAGAAATCATACAACATCCCTTCCATGGTGCTCTCGGCTCAGCCAGTCACAGAGGCCCCTCATTTTCATGAAAAGACATGGAGGCCACCACCTGAAGAGGGTTTAAGAAGAGCATGGAGGGTGGGACTTACTGTCGTAGTCATCTTCCAAAGCCCCGACCGTAAGCAAATCCATTTGCAGGCCCCAGAGGCCCATTCTGCTGTGCCAGGGAAAAAGTCTGCAACAGGCACTGGTTGGTGTTAGGAGTTCTCTAGCTCTTGGCTTTCCCTTTTTATCAAAAGGAGCAGGGTCCAAACTGTAATTTCATAAAATGGTCCTTTCTCTTTCTTCATGGCCATCTTCCCTGTCATGGGAGAGAAAACATGAAGGGGATATTTGTGCCAGTCTGTCGCCAAGGATACGCAATCAATAGCAAAAGCACACCACAGGCAACGTGTGTGGCATGCTACCATCTGCGAAAGAAAAGATGGGGAAAATGCAGCCTCAGGAGCGCTGGGAAGTATGCAAATACGTTTTCCCTTTGGCAGAGGCAAACTTTGCACATAAACAAAAGTCCCGTACAACTTGGCATTTTCCACTCAGCGCCGTCTTCCGGAGACTCGACCCTGTTGTCATACCTGCTGGTTCACTGCATGCCGTTGGTGTACAGACTGACACCAAGTAAGCAAACAGGTTCTGTTTAGGTTTGCTCTTACAGACCCACAGCATGCTCTTAATGTCTCTTGGGCTATGCCTGTGTCTAAGGGAATATACCTATCACTAAGTCATAGTATGTAAAACTTTCAGTTTTAATAAATAATGCTAATTTGCCCTTCAGAATAGCTGGGCTGATTTGTTCTCCTCGTGCCAACACTTGCTGACATTTTCGCCAACCGGATGGGTGTAAGATGGTATCTTGTGTTGATAGTTGCCGATTTCTCACAAGGCTGAGCACCTGTGCATGTGCTTACTGACTGTCTCCAGGCCCTAGTCCTTGAATCCTTCACATTCGCTGCTGTGTTCCTCTTCTGCCTCCTAGATCCCACATCACTTTATAATCCATTTTCTGCAGTTTTATTAACAGAATGGTTCCTTTCTGATCTGAAGCTGGTTGGGGAGGGGACCAGCAGATGCAGGTGAACAGTAAAATCTGGAGGGCATATTACATGGAGAACCACAGACGGAACCTCCTGTTACTGCTCCCCTACACTGGCCTCTCACAAGAGTTAGGCAGGAGGCGGCCAGGGCTGCTGCAGGTCCTGACAGAGCTGCCTCACTGAGCCCCACCCCCTCCCGCACCTGCCGTGACTTCACAGCACCCAGTAGTGCCCGGCACCCAAAGGTTGCAGGCTACCCGGCCACCCTCCTGAGCTGCTCCTCCACTCTAGACACTGTTGCAGTCCACAGGCAGACAGCCCTGTCCCCCAGAGCCCTGAACAAGAATGCCCACAACCAGCGGGTAAGCAGAAGGGCAGGGGAGCAGGTGACAAGAGTTCCCTAAAGTGATACCCCAGGGAGCCACAGGCGAGTTCACCTCAAACCAGCGCTTCCTTGATCTCACCGAAGGACACCTTCTTGCGCACTTTGTTTCTCCTGAACTGCCCCCACAGCTGTGAGAAGCTAGAGGCACCTTGCTGGGAGCCTTCCTGTCCCACTGCCTCACAGGCTTCTCGTGAAATCCTCCCTGCGCTTGCCCAGGACTTTGATGTCGCAATGACCCTGCTCAGAGCGGTTCCGCTTAGGGGTTTGGCCTTCCTTTGCTGAGCTTTGCGGCGGAGGCAGCAGGCAGGGCTCTCTTCCCCCAAAGCCCACAGGCAGTTGGGCTTCGCAAGGGAACTGGCTTGCCTGTGGACTCACCCCACGGTCACCAACACACCGAGATTCTGTCTGCAAAAGAAAGCGCCTATCATTTTTTTTCCCTGTTTTTTTTAAAAGAAAATGTTTTAATGTATTGAGTAAAGAAAATCAAGCACACAGAAAAGGTTTATAAGAATGGGTCTGATCACTTCCATGATTAATAATATGTAAGACTAGATGCCCAGTATGGAAATTAAATTTTAGGATAAAAGCATTTTTAAATCATCTTTGGCAGGCAGTTGATATAATGATTAAATCAGCATTTGGGGTACCCATATACCATATTGGAATACCTGGTTTAAGCCCTGGCTTCTCTGCTTCTTGGCCAGCTTCCTGCTAATTCATACCCTAGGAAGCAGCAAGTGATAACCCAGATGCTTGAGTTCTTGCTACTCATAGGAGAAACCCACAGTGAATTCTGAACTCTAAGCTTCCTTCTGGCCCAACCCTGGTTGTTGTGGTGTAAGATCTGTCTGTCTCTCTACCTTTTAAATGAAATGAAAATTAGTAAATATTAATTTCCAAAAAGAAATGCCCTCCCTCCCCCCAAAAAAGTGATCAGATTGCTGGGAAAGGCAAGAAGATTCTTGCCATAGCTAGTCACATGGTTCGAATGGGGCCGTATTTGGCTGTGTTACTCACTGTGGAGGCATCTGGCTGGCCTGGGTATGCAGAGACAAACCTGAGGCCCACAAAACCTGAGTGGATGGACTGGAAACACCCCCACGCTAAGCAGGCATCCCAGACAGGTGACACCATCAGGACAGAGCTGAGCTGTGTGCTTGAAGGGTTCCTGAAGGGGGAGGGAAGCTTATGGCTCATGTGTAGATACAGGGAAAAAGTGAAAATGTCGGAGGTGGGGCAGGGATCCTTGGAGAATACCTGAGGTCTGGTTCGTTATTTGGCATGTTTGGGATCAGAACCTTATTTTGCCTTCCCATCCCGGGTGAATTTAAGGCCAATCTTAGGTCAGAATATTCACAGGCTAACTTAGGGGGTGACTGGCACATTTGACAACAGAAAGGCAATCACACCAAGCAAGCTCAGGGAATGGGTGAGTGTGGCCGTGTGTGCAGTGCACCGCAGTAAGCTGTTACAGGACTCCTTGCCCCACCCCGCCCCCGTTCTAATCACACTACAACTGACACTTCTTTGTAGGGATTTCAATATGTCAGCACAAAGTAATAATGTCTACAATTGTAATATTTTCCACTATTACCACGGTTATTTGTAAATATGATTTTATATGGGTTTTATATGTGTTTCAAAAGAATATCTTGAATACTTCATTTTTAAATCACTTGAAGCATTACTGGTGGCACATGGAACAAAAATGAAAGTTCTCCCATTCATACTCCCCCTCACTCACTCCCACCCCCAATTCTCACTTCCCTCCCCACAGCTAACCACTGTTCACCATCTGGTTAAACATAACTTTGAAATGGGTATATAATTTTCCACCTAATGGGGAAAAAAAGTATATGTAAAATATTCCCCTATTAGGGGACATTTTGGTTGTTTCCTGATTCAGCCATGTTGTCTTAAACATATACAACAGAGGGTTCCCTTGGAGAGAACTCTAGCTAGCCTGTGCATGTATATGCCACAGGGCTGTGGTTTTGGAGCTATCAAGGAGAAACGTGACATAGACATGGGCTCGGGAGGTAACTGTCAGCTCTGAGAAGGGCTTTGCCTGTGCCAGGACCCCCTGTGCACAAGAAGCCATGCTAAATGCCTTTCTTGTCTGTTCTCATTTCATGCAGCAAGCACCTCAAGCTAAAGGACAAGCTTCCTGTTTTACAGATAGGAAGGCCATGTTTCTCAGGACCCAAGTGCATTGCCTAGGATCCTACACCATGTAGTGCAGGGGTTGGCTGTACATTGCAAGACACCAAGCTGAGGACCTTGTGTTTCTGACATAGAACTGGGGACTGTTGTTTTCCTGTGTGTATTTCACTGAGGCACATGCCACTGCAACCATCAGCTGCCCCTAATCCTTGAGGAAGCTCCAGCATGTTAATGGGATCATTGACTGGTTGGTGTTAACACATCTGTAGTGAAAGCACTTGAAGGGAGTAGGCCTTATCACCCACTGTTTAGGTCAGAAATCTGAGGCCTCCTCGCCAAGGAGGGCCTCAACCACAGGTCTGTGTGATGCAAGGCCTGGCCTTCCACCCCGGATCTGTGAGGTCCAATAGAAGGTAGAGGTGACTTGAAGATGATCTGCAGGCGGGGTGGCGGGACTAGCTGTGCTCTCCTCTCTCCACAGACAACAGCGACTTGATTGCATGCACAGTGGTCACCAAGGATGGTGGCATGGTCCAGCGCTTCCTGGCTGTTGACATCTACCAGATGAGCTTGGTGGAACCCGATGTGTCCAGGCTGGGTTGGGGAGTGGTCAAGTTTGCAGGTCTTCTACAGGTAAGACAGCCACAGGCTCCAGAATCTCTACCCCACACACAGCAAGCTGTCATCTTTACAATTAAGTTCTTTATTTCTTTAAAGGGTCATTTACTTATTTATTTAAAGGCAAACTTACAGAGAGAGAGAGGGAGATACCTTCATCTGCTGCCTGTAGAACCTTATCCTCACATGCAGGGGCCCAAGCATTTGGATCATCTTTCACTATTCCAGGCACATGAGCAGGGAGCTGGATTGGAAGAACCAGTACTCAAAGCAGTGCTCATATGGGATTCCAGTATTGCAGGTAGCAGCCTAGTCCACTGTAGCATGATGCTCTCTCCCCTTTAAATAGAACCTACTAGTAAAGGGAATATGTATAGAACTTGGTCCTATAAAGACCCAAATCTGGCATGATGCGCAGTTACGGGCCAAGTCCCCTTGACCACACCCTTCAGTCCTCCTCTCCCCAATAGGAGATAACCTCTGTTGTCAGTCTGATGCTTCCAGATCTGCACCTCTGCCAAGTGCATAGGTAAATGTGGTTCCACGTGATGGTTTTTGGAATTGTGTCCACACAGCCCTTTGTAGTCATGGCTGTTACGTCTGCAGATCTAGGCAATCACAGAAACTGAAAATATTTGGGGAACGAGTGCTGTGTGTGCGAAACATGTAAAGACTTTTTTCCCTTTCTATGCTGTTCCCTAAGCAGTGCAGCGTAGTCGCTGCTCACATAGCATTCTGACTGTATTAGATATCAGGAATGTGTACAGGTACATATTTCACTGTATTAGGTACAGGAACGTGTAGGTTGTGTGCAAATGCTAAATCCTTTTACCTGAGAGACTGGAGCACCAGTAGATTTGCGTATTCACAAAGGATCCCAGGACCAAGCCCCGGTGGATCCCAAGGGATTACTGACTGTATTACTTGAAAGAGACTATTACTTGAGAGGGACAGAGTGTTTTGTGATGTCTCACCGGGCACATTCTCAGTGTTGTGTTTCTCACTCAGTAGCATGTCTTGAAGAGCTGCTGTGTTAGTATACAAAGACCTCCTGGCCCTTTTTTGAACAGTTGCCTGAGTGTAGCAAGGTATTTGTAGCTAGTACCCTGTCAGTTGTGCCCGGTTTCCCCCCTTCCTAACATACTGCCATGACAGCTGTACTGGAGCACAGTCTCCCTAGATGTGTAACCAAGAAATTGGAGATGGCTCTTTTCGTCGTTGGTGTAGAGAACACCCAGTGCCTCTCTGAAATGGTTGTTGCCACCAGTAGTCTAGGAGAATTTCCTTCTCTTCACCCCGCTTCCAGCAGATCAAGGCTCCGAATGCCAGAGGTGTAGGGATGGGTCATATTTGTCAGCGTGATGAGTGGTTGATGCTCAGCTTGCAGAGTGGACAGAGCCAAGAACAGCAAGGCTCAACAGTGCTCCAGCTGCCCCCCTGCCTCGCTGTACCCTACAAGTCCAGCCTGAGTCTTATCCTGTGTCCGGGCAGTTTGTCTTTGTTCGATGGTCCTGGTTTCGTTTTTTTTTCTTTTCTTTTTTAAAGTTTTTTTTTTTGGTTGTTGTTGTTTTGTTTTAATTTGAAAGGCAGAGCACCAGAGAAATTTTTTGGTTTCTGGTTCACTTCCCAAATGGCCACAAGAGACAGGAGTGGACCAGTCCAAGTGAGGATACTGAGTTCCATTCAGGTTTCCCACATGTGGCAGGGACCCAAGTCCTTGGGCCATCTTCTGCTGCCTCTCTGGACATAGTAGCTGGATCCAAAATCAAGCAGCTGGGACTTGAATCAGCACTCTGATGCAGGATACTGGGACTGCAGGCAGCAACAAATAGTGGCTCTGAGTCCTAGTTTCTTGTAAGACCTTGCCCAGCGCAGAGGTTGACTCACATCTGGCTGGCCACGAGAACCACCTATGTATTTGAAGAGGCTTCTGCAGCTTCAGCCCCAACGTCCTCTTTTTCAGGACCTTTCTATTTTTGTAATGTGAGAATCGGCTGCAGAAGAATCTCTCATTTTCTAAGATTTGATTTTGCTTTATATAAAAGCCAGAGACAGATTGGTAGAGAGAGAGGCAGAAGAAGGTCTTGCATTTGCTGGATCACTCTACAAATGCTCGCAACAAGTGGAATTGGGCCAGGCCAAAGCCAGGAGCTCAGTCCCGGTCTCCCACATGATATGGCTGGAACCAGAGCCATCACTTGCTGTTTCCCAAGGTTGCACACTAGCAGCATTGAATGTAGAGACAGGACTGAAAAATCAGGCCTCCGAGTAGTGTCCCAGGTAGCGTTCAAACTGCCATGCCAAACCTACCTAGAACCTCTCGTTTTAAAAGCTTCATGTAAGACCTTGTATATCAGATTACTTACACTTCTTATTTATTAAAGCTTGCAGTCAATTTCCTTTAGAATTTGGTGTAAGGGAAATATTTTCCTGCTCCTAAAAAAAGAATTAATCCCTATCCTCCATGAAACAATGAAAATCAAATGAACCTTTAAAAAAAAAAAAGATTCATTTGTTTATTTGAAAGGCAGAGTTGCGATGGGGTGGAAAGAGACAGAGAGAAATCTATCAACTGGTTCGTTTTCCAGATGGCTGCAGCCACCAGTGCTCTACCAAGCCAGAGGCAGGCACTTGGGCTGTCTTCCACTGCTTTTCCAGGTGCATTAGCAGGGAGCTGCACTGGAAGTGGAAAAAATAGCTCTTAAACTAGCTATTTTGTCAAGTCATAGCTGTGTTATTTGCTCCCTGTTTCAGATATATAATCCCTCATTTAACCCTCACTGCTGCATTTTGATGTTGGCCTTATTTGCAAAGGGCCCATGCCTGAGAGCCTTACCATCTTTCTTCATGAGCCTGCTTCAACATTTTCCCCACTTCCTGTGACAGTTCTTTCTCTCTGGTCACTTCACACCTGTGTCGGAAGCAGAGACTCTTCTGAGGTTTAAGACAGACTTGTGCTTAAAACAATTGTGACACAGTAGTTGCTGCAGCACCATTCACACACTACTTTCTTCAAATCACTGCTGAGGATCACGGTCCCTGTACCCTTCTCAGAGTCAGCTTTTTCCTTGGAGAACAGGGGTTCCCTCCTGCATACAAATACACAAATGGATCCCCTCTTAAGAGAAACCAGGAGGAAATTGGTTAGGAAATGAATGACTATCTAAGATCATGCCAGATGGTGACAGGAATCTTGATTTGTTATCTCTGGTTTCTCAGAAGATTTGTTATTTTCCTGGTAAGTTACCAGTGTTCCCTTCTGGTCAGCAACTGACTCAAGTCCTCATGGGAGTGGGTTAAGCTGCTACTTGAAATACCACATTCCATATCTTGTTCTGGTTTAGAAAGTACCAGCTGCTCCACTTCTGATCTAGTTTCCCTCTGATGCACTCTGGGAGGCAGCAGATAGTTCAAGTATTCAGATTCCTGCCATCCATGTGGGAGACGCAATGAAGTTCCTAGCTCCTGGATCCATTCTGGCTGACTCTGCCTGTTGTGGACATTTGGGAAGTAAACCAATAGATGGAGGTTTCTTTTTTCTCTCTCTCCCTGTCCATTACCCACCCCTAAATCTGTTTCTCACTCTGTCTCTTTCAAGTAGATGAAATTTATTTATTTTAAATAAATTTTAAAATAAACATTAAAAAAAGAAGTCCTCCTGGACATAGATCCTGGCTAGCACAACCAGTGTGGGCTCCTTTTGAGCGGTTTATCTCTACACCGTCTTCTCCTTCTGTCCTGGGTCTGGTATAAGGACCCCTTTGTGGTTGAGACACAGATCCACAACTCTTGAACAGGACACATGCCCTTCCTTTGCCTCCTCCCCACAGGACATGCAGGTGACTGGTGTGGAGGATGACAGCCGCGCCCTCAATATCACCATCCACAAGCCAGCATCCAGCCCCCACTCCAAGCCCTTCCCCATCCTTCAGGCCACCTTCATCTTCTCGGACCACATCCGCTGCATCATTGCCAAGCAGCGCCTGGCCAAGGGCCGCATCCAGGCACGCCGCATGAAGATGCAAAGGATAGCTGGTGAGTGCTGGTCCTGACAGGTGTCCTCTGGACCTTAGTAGCAGAAGCAGTCACAAAATTGACTTTGACACTGTTAGATCTTCTGGAAGTGGACACACATCATTTGGGACATGATTTGTTGTGTTTTATAAGAAAACAGAGACCCTATTCAGAGTTTCCCACCTCCTGATTGGTTGGTAGGTCCAAGAGCTGGCACTACCTCACAATCAGGAGCCCTTGGTGAAGGACACCTGCTGCCCCTCCTCCCCATTGCCGTTTCCACACTTGTAGCCACAGATTGCCTTGACCTTACTGTACCACCTATGCCCTCAAAACCATCCCTGTGTCAGGAGGTACCCAAAGTCACGCAGGCAACAAGCTGGCTACTGAATCTCCTTCCCAACAATCAGGAGGGGCAGCTCTGCTTGGTCTTCTTAGCAAAGACCTAGAATTGAAGGCGTTGAGCTCATTGAGGCTTGTGCTGAGAGAACAGCAGAGTCTTCGATGCCTCCCCCTCCCACCACAAACAGCCTCCCTCCCAGCCGTTGGGTCCAGGCTCCAGCAGTCATTCCTGTGAGGTTGTGGGAAGGGCAGGGGTGCTTTCTCAAGAAATATCCTAAAAATAACCACTGAGAGGCCTCAGTTTCTGAACTTGGCTGCCTGGGTTATTTCCAGCTACGGGCCCTGTCAATGCTGAGGACCTGCCTCCCCTGTGGTCCTCCCTACCTAATTCTCATTTAGCTGGAACTTGGCCTCCAAAATCATTGCAGAAGCATTTTGTAATGTGCAAAGTGACTTAAATCATTCAGCCCTTTCTTTTAAGATTTATTTTCACAAGTTTTTTTATTTTAATGTAAAGCAATTTTTCATAGCTGGCATGAAGGACAAATATTTCATTTGAAAATTGAGAATTAGGCTGCAAAGTGACTGTTGAAACTAACGCCTCGGGTATTTCTTAAATTGATTTTTAAAAGCCCCTCCAAATTGATAGATTATGAGTCTTGTTTATGGAAGGGAGGATAGCAGCTGTGACAGCTAAACATCCCCCATAAATTCACCTGTCCCCACGCAGATGTGCTCGCTCACACACATAGCTCTCACGTGCCTGGTCCCTATGCCCCGCATTATCAGCCTTGCAAGGAAAATCCCAGGCACACTGACCACTCCCAGGCTCTGGTTCTGACCTTTGTTCTCTAAACCATGAGATGTGACAATCGTGCATCTTGTTATTTTGTTATTCTGTTAGATTTTGTGAGTCATCTACAGATGATTTAACTCACTTGGGAGGATGAGCATAGATTATATGCAAATGCCATTTTATACAGGAACTTGAGTATCCTTGGATTTTGATTTGGACAAAGGATCTGGAACCACACGGATACTGAGCAGCAGCCATGCGTGTTTGTCAACTTTCAAGGCAGAATTGGCCCCAGATGCATTGGGGTCTGAAATGGAACTAGAAGCCTACTCTTGATAAGGGTCTTTTACACATGAAAGCTGTGCCTCCAAAGTGGGGAGGGGCTGTCTGGGAACCCCCTTTTTTCTTGTTCTTAACCTTCATCTAAGCCCTTTGCTAAGCATCCAGTTGTTTTTTCAACCTTTCTAAGGTCTTTTATTATGATTCATTAGCCGGAAAGTGGAATCAGGTGCCGAGCTGGGGCTCAAATCCAGGCATTCCAATATGGATGTTGAAATTCCAACTGGCAGCTCAACTACAGTGCCAAATGCCCTTCTCACCTCACTGCGTTTTTGATGTTCTATTAATCTCTCCAAGTCAGCTGCCTGCTTCCTGGCAGGGCCACAGCCACTGGAGCTGCTGCCACCCAGAGTCATGTTACACACCTCCTATCCTGCATTTTGAGAATGTGCTATTGTGTCGTTTGACCGTAGCCCTCCTGGACCTCCCAATCCAGCCAACAACTGAAGTCCTGGGATTTGGCCTTGGCTCCTCCACTTCCACCCAGCACCTGCCTTTCCGCTTCTATGACCAGGGCCGCCGGGGCAGCAGCGACCCCACGGTCCAGCGCTCAGTGTTCGCGTCTGTGGACAAGGTGCCAGGTAAGGCAGTCCCTCAGCGTGCACCATGACTCGCCTGTCCAGAGTGAGGCCCAAGAGCTGCTGCTTCTTTTGCACCTCCTTGTTGCCTTCTCTTCCTCTCTCAGAAACCCAGGGAGCTTGAAGCACTAGGTTCTTAGAACTGACTAGAGCAGAGCATGAGGTTACACCAACCCCAGAAGTCAGTCCTGGCTTTCCCTTTGAGGTTTTCCAGAGATTTGTTGAGTGTGTGGAAGAGTTTCTCAGAATTAAGATTCAGAAATTTCTTGGAAATTTCTTGGAAGTATTTTAGCTGTTAATAATGAGGTTGTGGAAGAGCAATTTCCTTCTCCTGTAAGATGACTCACAAGAGAGAATGGGCGGTTCCTGTGAGAAGCCCTGAAGAAGTGAGGCCTCAGAAGACGGCCTCATGTCCCCAGGTGGCTGTCTTCCTCCCATCCTAGAACTGTGCTTCCTGCTTTCACCAGAGTGTTCCCCTCCCCGCTTCTGCCCTCCCCAAAGAGAGACTTGAGTGGAAACTTCAAGGTTGACTCGAAGAAGAGAGGCTCTGTCTTCCTGTTCCTTTGAGTCTACTCCAAGTAGACCCATGTGCACCCCAACCCCTTGACTCAGACTTTTCCCTAGGGAGCTGGCCGAGCTCCCCCATAGCTCTGTCCCTCCACACCTAGGGCTCCAACTTGAACTGCAAGTGTTGGCAGACAGGAACTTTAGGACAGGGTGTAGCCCTAAGAAACTGCCCCATATCCACCCTCAGACCTCCCACTGCAATGTGGTTTATTCTTCACTGTTTCATTTGATTCATTCATTTTAAAATCTGTGTACTGTGGGCATACGACTTTTAAAGATCCAAACAGGACACGATAAAATGAAAGTAAGTCTACTGGCACCAGAAAAAAACAGTTACTGATTTCTTACATACCCTTTGGGAGTGTTTATTTGTATGTCATATGGAACTGCTTCTCAGTCTTTTGACAAGATCAAGTGTGGTGTCTGTGTGTCACATGGGAAGGTATGGGTGACCTAGGGTATGTGATTGTGCACTCCACTTCATTTAATAATGCGCCCGCGTTGCGCATTTACACAGATGAGTTAGCATTGTCCTCATTCACTGTTGCATGGCATTTTGTCATCAGGGTAGACCAAAATGTTTTCTGACCATTTCATATGGATAAGAGATCTCGGGGCCATTGGCAGTGTTTTGCTGTCACAGTGTCACAGCTGAACATCCTCAATGTGTTGCTGGGCAGTTGTGCAAGTCTCCTAACAGTGTATCTGCCAAGTCACAGGGAAGGGGTTTCACCAAGATGTTTGTTGTGGTCCTAATGTGAGCTCTGGAGAAAAGTGCCCAGTTCACTTGGCCCCTGCAGCCTGCAACTGTTTTCGTTCTCAGACCTAGTCGTAGGCTGAGAGACTGACCTGCCTTGTCTGCCAGGAAACGTGGGGTGATCCTGCCTGTTCCTGGGTTCTCCAGGCTGCTTCCCCTTCTACAGTGTTGGTCGCTGCGTAAGCTTAGATTGGGGCTGTGTGTCCAGGCTAACTGAAGATGGAGCGGGCCTGGCAGGAAGTTATTCCTCCAAAGTTGTGGGTGCCCCTTCGAATTTGGAGACTTACTAGTTAAGGAGAAAAAGGCTGGACTTATTCTCGTTCCAGACATTTTTGGAATAAGACAGGGTATAGGAGCAGATGAGCCAAGCATGGCCTTGTCCAGGATCCATGCGGTTGTCTTTCTGCATGGTGACTTGTTCCTGCCTCTCCCCACCCATCAAGGACTACACTGGCCTGATAGGGTCAGAGGATGACAGGCAAGGCCAAGTGGGTGGGACACGTCGCAGGTAGCTGCTGAAGTCAGCCATCTGACCTTTGGCTGGGTCTCCCCTCACTGCCCATGGATGCGCCACTCATGTCTCATGCAGGGACACAGGGCTTGCTGCCATATTGTGTGACGTGGCCTGAACTTAAGTGACCTCAGTTCCCTCTCCCTGCCTGCTTTCTCAGTAGTCAGGGTCCCCATGGCACCAGACAGTCCTTATCCCAAAACCCTGCTCTTCTTCCTTTCCTTGTCCAGCATTCTTGAATTGCCAGGAAAAATCTCCTACCCCTTTCCTCCCTCATCTCTTCCGAAGCACAGCTGTAGCCTCCTCAGTGTCCCTGGCTTCCAGTTTTGCCCTCTCCCTTCTGTTCAGCCAGCAGAATCTTTCTAGAACATAAATCAGACCATGCCAGTCCCCTGCTGACAATCCTCCAGTAGCTTCCCCTTGCATGTAGGGCAAACCCTGTGTCTGTCCCTCTGGTCTGTGTGGGGACGGGGCCAAGAGGAGGTGTCCCCTTCTGTGGCCCTGCTGCCCCTGGAGATCCACACATCTCAGAGTTGTCATGAGAATCCCAGAATGCTTCACTTGATGTGCATTGTGTCTGCCAATATTTATGGCTGTGCTTTTAAGATGTACTTATTAATAAATCCATTGCCCATAAACACTTACCAACAATTACTGTTTTCCAAAACAAACAAAAACCCCTCTTATTTTACAATTTTTTTGAGTCTCTTTCATGTCCGGCTTAGTAGAAGACAGCTGGATTCTGCTTTCTGCTTCTGCTTTGGCTCTCTTGTATAGCATACATTGCATAGCGGAGATGAGCTGAAAGGGATAACACTGTCATTTCCCAGAGCAAGCTTCGAGAGCCAGTGCTGCGAAGTCCTTCCTGCCGTGGGGCCTTTGTGTCAGTAGTACTTCTGCAGTTGTGGTGGGGCTGCCTCCTCACAGAGGTCCTCCCTTGTGTTTGGTTTTGTTGGAAATTTGACTTCCATATCAATACATGTTTCTGATTTTTATTTTCGTTCTGTTTGAAAGGTAGAGAGGGTGACAAAGATCTTTTCTTCTACTGGTTGAGTCCCCAGATGCCTGCGTTAACTAAGGCTAAGACAGGCAAAACCAGAAGCTAGTAACTCAGTTCAGCTCTCCCCTTTGGGTGGCAGACTCAAGCACTTGAGCATCATCTGCCGTATTCCAGAATGCACTTTAGCCAGAAGTAGGTAGGACTCGAACCAGGCACTCATGAGATGCCAGCCTAACAGGCTGCACCAAGTGGCCACCACCACAGAGGCCTTTTCTGCTCTGGTTCTCCCTCCCTGCCATCACATTAGCCTGGTGTGTTTTCTCCGAGGCAGGGGTTCCTTGTGCACCTGGCCGTGGTCTCTGTCATCTGCTTGGGTGAACCTGGTCTGTCCTGTTCCCTGTTGTATCTCAGCTTCCAGCTCTGCGCATTAGATTCAGTGTGTGTAAAACAAAGGGTGTACTATGGAGTAGCTCCCGTCTGAGAACCAGAAAGACAGGGGGCCCGAGACCCTCAGTGGATCTGCAGCAGCTCTGCTGTGCTTTTTTCCTGTCACCAAGGAGAACAAGGTGTGTGGCCAGGCAGGTGCCCCAGGTGGGAGACCAAGGTGGGCTGCACATGGCTGAATTTCACGCTCTGCTTCCTCTGAGGTGCAATGCCAACGCCAAAGAGCAGGTTGGGCGGGCAGGATGTGGTGGGTCATCAGAGTGAGGCATAGGGGAGCACTTTGGTGTGACCCTTTGCACCTTCCAGAGTGGTTGGTGTCCGCTGTCATTCACATACCATTAACCCAATCCCACACCGGACAGGAGTGGGTGGGGAGGGTGTCAGGTTCACAAGGAAGAAAACAGTACTGGCGACGAACCTTGTGGTGACTGCAGGAGGAGTTTGCTTTATGGGGACCCATCTTCCACTCTTCCCTGTGGGTCCAGGGAGTTGTCAGAGCACTGTTTATCTTCCTGTGAGAAGCTGTAAATGGCTGCACCTGATGAAAATATACCTTTCATTTCCTTGGAAGATGCTCAGGAGAGCATAAACCGCAATGATAGGTGTCTGGCCACTTAGGTGTGTTTTCCTCTCTCCATTTGGCATAGAAAGACCTCACAGGTCTACTGGCTGCTTTTGTGTTGATAGTCCTTACCTTGCAAGGTTTCTGGCCCCATGAGGGCACAGCATTTGCACCTGGCTGGGGAGGGCGGGCTGATGGTAGACGAATATGGGGGTGGTCAGGTCCAAGCAGGTCTAAGCCTGAGTCTGCCATGGCTTGGAGAGGTACCACAGCCCTGTGGTCAGGGCTCTCCCTGACCACTGAACCACAGTAACAGCTGTTGTCCTGAGGCTTCCATGGCAGGCAGAGTGTCCAAACTGACCCACAAGGACAGACTCTCCACTCATTTCATGCGGGCTGGCAGCCCCCATGGCAGAAGCTGCTCCCCACGAGTGGCCCTCTGGCGCACCGGAGGAGATCGCTCCAAGAGCAGCCACATCTCTCCCTCCTAGGCTCCTGGTTGGCAGGCGCACCTGGCAGGAGAGGTGGGGTGGAACAGCTGACAGAGCACCCAGCCCCTACAACCTGACCGCAACTTGGGCAGAACAGCCTCTGACGCTCACTAATGGGGCTTAGTGGCCCTGCTCCCCTGCTTTATCACCAGCCACCCCCACAAGCTCTGGGGACAGGGACTGGGACCAGACCTGCCTCTGTCATTACTATTTGCTCTGCTCCAAAACCTCCAGTGCCTCTGCCTCCACCTCACCCCATGAGCCATGGCCCTCATCCTGAGATCAGTGGCTCACTGCCCTGGCCCCTCAATGCTGCGGGTCTCAGCTCAGCGTGCCAGCCACGCAAGCTTTCTGACCAGGCTTCTGCAGGATCCTGCAGGTTCTATCTCAGCACCTCTGCCTTAGTGCCTCCCATGCCTGGAACCCTGTACTTCACTGTTCCTATTTCTTGCTCAGGGGCCTCCTCAGGACCCTCACCCTAGTGTACAGTTACCCAACGCCGTCTGTACAGCAACTGTTTGTCATGAGGGAGCTTGAGGTGACTTTCACATAACAAAAAATGAGCCAGTCAGGGCAGTGAGAACACGCACGATGTTAATGATATGAGCCCAGGAGTACTCTGCTCATTCCAAAACATTTTCATCACCTCAAGATAAAACCTCATGGCCATT